CATTTGTGATTGGACTTTATCTTTGGGTTTAGATTGTTGGACCCCCAACTCCCCTCCTTATGATTGTTCCAGATATTGAGGCAGATGGAATCAAACGCATGTTAAGCTCACTAATAGCTGGGTAAAGTGTTTCTTCCATAATTGCCAAAAGGATTTTAAAAGTTGTAAAGCACTGGGAAGGGATAAGTTTTCTGACTCCTTATTTTTAAGCTGCCCCCGGGATAATTCCACAAGTAAGACACATGTTGTCCGTGATTATCAGTGGAAATGGCAACACTGGAATGGAACTCAAACCCTTTTCAATAGGTTCTGGTCCAGATCTAACAAAACAGATCTGGGATGTAACTGCAAGTGGAAACCTCATGTGGGATCTTGGAAATGCAAATATTGTGATTCTTATCACAAAGCAACTATTGTTGGGGAACCACTAGGCCCCAGAAACAAGCTGTATTTTGACCCACCAATTGATGATGAAACTTGGAAAGGTCTCTTTGCCAATGGGACCTGGGCTTTAAAGGGCCATTATTGGATTTGTGGCCAGTATGCTTACCACAGGTTACCCCCAAATTGGTCAAGAATATGTTATGTGGGGTATATTAGACCATTGTTCTTTCTGCTACCACAAGTTCAGGGAAATCAGTTAGGAGTCAAAATATATGATGATCTAATTAGCAAAAATCAGTCAATTGATGCATCCGTGGCTGGAGGGAACATCCAAAAGTGGGGGCAAAGATGAATGGCCAACTGAATGAATCATACAACCCTATGTACCAGCTACTTGGAACCCAAATGAATTAATATCAGGTGCCAGAGAACCCATTTATAATTTAAATCAGATAATTAGGTTGCAAGCTGTCTTCGAAATGATAATTAACCAGACAGCTACAGCTCTTGACCTTCTTGCTGACCAGTCTACTCAGATGAGAAATGCAATATTTCAACATTGGATGGTATTAGACTATTTATTAGCAAAAAAAGGGGGAGTGTGTGGCAAATTAAATGATTCAAACTGCTGTTTGCAAATAGATGACAATAGAAAAGTGGTGAAACAGATAACAAAAGGAATAAGAAAGTTAGCTCATATACTGGTCCAAACATAAAAAGGATGGGAATGCGACATGTTTTCATGGTTACCTGGTGGACTATGGGTTAAACAAATGCTTTTTTTTCCTCTTATGTGTTGAAGCAACTCTAGTCTTTTTACCATGCATGATCCCTTGCCTAGTACAACTCATTCAACATGTGATCAAAGGGATGAAGATAGTAGCCATACCTACTGACCTCAGAGATGGCTACAAAAGGGCAGAGAGTGATGCCACTGCAAATAATTGTAAAACCAGAAAAGACCAAGAACAAAAAATTAAGTCAATGATAACGAAAGTTTGTAAAGACAATTACTAAAAATTGAAAGAGGAGGGATTGAGAGGAAGGACAGGTTTGTCTTTACAAAGAAGCTGTGGGTCTGCTGATAAGATGAAACTATCAGAGATAGCAGAAACAAGGGGATGGATTCCACTGAAAGATGAAAGGGACATTGAGGAAACGCCATGAATTCCACAAGAGTTAAGAATTAAGAGAGGGTTATGCATGGGGGGGG